TCAGAACTTCCCTTCCTGTAGTTCTGAATGATTTAATCATCTGCAGTTCAACCAGAAAAGAGTCTAGGGCTCTCTTGTTCCCTACCCACTCTTCTGCTCAAGAAATCACATCTTCCTTGGACATCACTAGGTGTCACTGCTGGGTTCACACAAAAACCACACCTGCTCAGGAGCTCAGCTGAATCCTGAAGTGATTACCCCATTGGGAGGAAGAGATGCACCTTCCCAAAGAACTATGCAATTCAAAACTTGAGGATGAACCTTTCGTGCATGCATTTGTTAAGCCATAGCAGCGTGACTGACATGTTACACCATCACAAAACCATGGTTAGTGCATGTTGCACATCACTGATGGAAATCTGAGACAGGTTTGGGCCTGGAATCACACACATAGGTTTGAGTGACTGTCCTCTGCTCACCTCTACCTCTCTGGAGAGGTACAAAGACAGAAATGCTACATGAAACAAGAACAACATTGTATGAAAGAAGAATACTCTTGAAATACACCCTGGGGAGATATCATCTTGCGGTTGAGTTGGACAGCAAAGAGGTTAAAGACTGCTTCTCCTCCAGGCCTGGCTGCTCTCAAACACAGAATGGGATATATAGCAAAGGAACACATGGAGAACAAGCAAAACCTTTGTTTTAAGAAGTTCATACGCATTGCAGTTTTATCTGTGCTGTTGTCATACTCAATACATGGTCATATCAGCTCAGCTTTTCCACTTACAAGCCACTAGGTAGTTACTAATAAGCATATAACTAAGGACTAAGGTAGTTATGTTGGTTTAGTCTTTTGTTAAGGTTAAAGACCAAACTGAATCATCCACAATGTCTTGTGGTTCCATTCTACTGGAGACTATTCTCTGGTCACGCACGTGGCACTGCTCTCCCCAGCATCCTACACACAACAAATATGGCAAGTCCCATCACAAGGCCATGCTGGACCATGGGACACATCAGCTCCAGGCTGTGCTCCATGGCCAGTGACCACATCATGCTCTGTTAGCTGAAGTTTGCTGCATGGCTCTGATCTGGGGGACCCGTAAAGTGGTTGACATTTAATGAGCACTGGGCTTTCCTAGGGTCGTGCTCCCAGACCTTGCTCAATCTGTACTGCTTCTCTGCCACAGGTCCCCAGACAGCTGCAAAACAACAGCTAGAAAACTTCCTCTGCCTGTCCTTTAAAACTTGCCTTTTATTTTGTGTACTACTTGGGCCTGGAACTGGAGGTTGGTACTGTTTCAAACATCTTAGCCCAGTACAGCTATCATTTATAGAAGCTTTTCAATGCAAGGAAACCTCAGCACGCTTCCATGTTGATGCAGCAAAGTCCATCAACTGTAGTAATGCCCACAGGCAGGCAGAGCAGCCACAGTGCACTGCCTTTGGGTCACCAGCCCCAAAGAGCAGCAAAACACCTCTTAAACAAAGGAGGGAATGCTGCCAAACCACAAAGAACCTGCTCTTGGCATGGCTTACAGCATGCACACCCGTAGGTTTGCTCTCACAGAGCTTCTAACCTGGGGATATATTGGAAACTACACATCCCCCTGCTCTCTAGCTTGGCTGGGAAGCAAGAAGACATGGGAATCCTCTAATGAAGAGAGACATGAGAATGACACATCAAAGATTACAGGAAACACCTCATACTGTACATAGTTTGTATGCACAAAGGAAAAAAAAACAGGCTGCTCCAAATCACTGCACACATTATATTTGATACAAAGTGAGCTGAACCATTCTAGAGCACTTTTTTTTGGCCCAGTTTTAAAGACTTTTTAATAAATTTGCATAAGCAACCACCTATAAATTTCACAAAAGGTAATAAAAATTAAAATGGCCACCTGACCTCCACCCATTGCCAGAAGGAGATCCTTAAAGAAAAATAGCTGCATGTGGTGTATTTTTTTATAATCCAACAAAGGAGAATGGATGTAGAATAAAGTACCCTCGAAACTGGTTATAAAGTTCAAGTTTAGGGACATGGTTTAGAGGTGGAATTGGTAGTGTTAGGTTCATGGTTGGGCTTGATGATCTTAAAGGTCTTTTCCAACCACTATGATTTTAAGTTAATGTGCAACCAGTGTTTGTGGGGTTCTCCAAGGATTAGGAATTGACCCTGTGGGCAGAGGTCAGTGGACAGAAAGGGACTTACCTGGAGAGACTTAAAGCTCCTGCTGGGACCCTCCATGGAGTAAGCACAAAGAAATGCTGATGCCAAGGGCCACTCCAGTCTCTCTCCCCAGGCAGCAGATGCCTGTCTGCCCTTCCAGCCTCTTGGCACTTGTCATTTGATTGCCTCCAGCACTCTACTGTCCCCAAGAGCCATGTAGCCTCAGCATTAAATTGCTTCTATATGATCCCTTTGTGCAAACAGATACTGATAGCATAGCATGCCTCATTTGCAAATACAAAACACCAAAATCTTTGCCATGTAAGGAAATTCATTAAAGAACCAGCAGTTCATTCTCAATATCTCAATGCAACCAACAAAAAGCCAACAGGTACTTAACAACTTCACTTTAGTATAAGTAAGTTTTGTATACCACGTGAAACCATGACCTACTGCATTTTTACTTCATTTCTATTTTAACTCCTTCAGGGAACACACAAGAGAACATTTCCACAGCAAATCCAAAACACCAAAATCTTTGCCATGTAACAAAGTTGATTAAAGAACCAGCAGTTCATTCTCAATATCTCAATGCAACCAACAAAAAGCCAACAGGTACTTAACATCAACTTCACTTCAGTGTAAATTTTGTATACCACTTGGAACCATTATCCGTTGAATTTTACTTCATTTCTCTTTTAGCTCCTTCAAGGTGAACACAAGAGAACATTTCCACAGCACAATCATCTTAGCACAGCAATGACTATGATGGTTATAGGGTAACATTCATATCCACACCACCACTGCTGGCACCCAGCACAAACACAAGCTGATGGTTTGCAGAGCACCAGGAACAGTTCATGACTATTTATACTTCTCAACCCCATTGCACCAAAAGCTTTTAAGTAATTAGTTTTCCCTCATTAACAGATGCACTGCCTGGGGAAGGGCACACAGGTGCTCCCAAGCCCCAGCCTGGATTACAGGGCAGCACTATCTGGTCTTGGAGTGAAAAGATCAGAAGTACCAAATTGGGTTGATGAGGAGGGTAACAACCACAACATTTATACAAATACACTATTTCCAAGGCAGACCTGCAGGTTGTATTTTGGCAAGATCAGAGACCTTAACAGCAATAAAAATATTCACAGGACATTACCACAAACCCCATGTAATTAAATCAGAAAGATGAACAATGTTTATCAACATCATTTCTCTGGAGACCCAAATATACTTTAGGAGACATTGGGTGTCAGAGCGATTTTTTGCTCAAGTTGCATCCTATTCTAAAAGGAGCAAAGTTTGTACACCTCATGTACCAAAAAGTAATCTACAAACACAGGCAACAGGGTGAGTAGTGCTACTCCAAGGCAAGCACATCTCTAATAGAATACGCGCTGTTTGTACTGTCACTTACTGACACATCCAATACATTATTCCATTCCTCTCTTTTATACTTTTCGAAGCAAAATAGACATTTGCTAAAGTCTAATTTAATATTAACACTAATGCATTCTAACACATCACTAGAAAAACTGTGTTGCTAAAATTACATTGCAGGAAAAAAAAAACCACCAAACAGGTAAAACAGACACCGTTATCTCCTTGAAAAATATGGGCCTTATGCTACAGCACCTCCTGATGCGAGTCTATTGAAACCAACAGGATTACTTACGTGAATAAGGATTAGTCCCATGATTAAGGAGTGCAGGATTACATCCACTGTTTGCATATCTCCTGTTATTTGCATATCCCTATTTTCTCCTCTTGTTTTTGTTTGTTTGTTTGTTTTATTTTTCTTAAAACACAGGGCGTTTAATTACTGTTAGCACTAGATATCATTATGCGGTACTTTTATCCCTTCAAAATTTGCCTGTCTTTTGGATGTCAAATAAAAAGCTTTTATGATCAAAACAAAGAAAAGAAAGTAGGAACAGCAGAAGCTGGACTATGTAATTAAAAAGAAACAAATAAAAAGAAGGAGAGCTTGTTATCCACAATCAAAACTTATTCATGATTCGTTTCATATTCACGCTCCTACCCATGGCCTCTGCTCTTGGGAGCTGATTATTTATATCAGTGTTTGAACTGTGCCAAGTAGTGAGTTACCTGAGAGTTCTCAGGCAATGCTGATAGTATCATTACTGGAAAATAACAAAAATCAGACAAACAAGTGAAACAAATAGTTTAGGTAGGTATGCTGACAATAAATAATAAAGCAAAACATTTTGATGTTTTCACCTGATAAAGAAGAGGTAAGTCTAGCCTAAGTTCATCACTGCCATATGCTTCACATATAAAATATATCTCCTTCCTATCCTTTGAAAAATTGGGAAAGTTCTCAATGCTTTTCAACTGTTTTATGACACAACAGAATAGCTAATGCATGGTAAGAATGTTATGCAGATCTCAGCTCCTGTTCCCAACCTAATTAGAAATATATTTATCTGTACAAAGCCATAGCACAAGTTACACTTACAACAGGTAACCAATATTTTTTATTAAAAACAACACATGTTCTTTCAGATTCTCCAGTTTGACACTGAATTATATGAGTTTCAGTTGCAAGAAAACAGACTTGGATCAGAAATATATTTTGTTTTAGTAGCGTGCTACAGGAATTTGAAAATTTAAATAACACAAGCTAATTTCAGAAGGCTTGATTGTAACTTTAATGTCAGGTCTGTAGATGCTGTTTACATATTTTCTAGAGTTAAAAATAAAGATATTGCATGCCTTCTTAGGCTTATTTAAGTCATTTTAAAAGCAAAAGGAAAGCAGACTGTTTTTAGAAAGACTGATAAAACACCACACGTTACAGTTATTGCAAACTGAAAAGAGCTCACAGTAGATTCAGAAAACATCAAAAGTTACACAAACTTACCGAAGCAACCTGTTTTCTTCCAGGAAGAGCAGTTTATGGTCAAGTACATTTGAGTTACAAAAGACTGTGTTTCCCGGGTCCATTTTGCATAAGGTTTAACCTGAAAATCCACCCGACTGTGTCGGGCGCAGCGGAGACACGGAGTTTTTCCCTCTCCAGAAGGCATTTCGGTGCTCGGTGGGGATGTGCGATGGCCCGAACACGGCTGGGCCAGCTGCCACTTGTTGCAATGGTAACAGGAAAAGCCAGGATCTGCCCGCTCGGGCTGTGAGGACATGAATAATTCATTCCTTCCACCGCCCCGCATTAGCATGCTGCTCAGGCAACTCCAATGAAGCAATTCATTCTGTCCTTTGTCTTCAGGAAAAGCTTGCCGGATTAATGAGGGTTATCTGTGATGATAAAACCCGGGCCTGCTGATTTATTTAGTCTGATTGGTGAGAATTTGTGTCTTTAAATGCAGGTTTTACGGCCAGAATATAAATTCAGTTGTGCATCCTCAACCTTAGGCAAGTGTGGGTTGTTCGGCTACAGCACCAATGTCTAGCTACAGCACATGAATGTTTCATTTTCTTGACTTAAATATTGAAGCTGGGCTCTTTGTTTCTGAGTGCTTCTTGAGGGAAGTTAAGAGGAAATCTCCAAGTACGCCGCTCGCACGTGGTTTTGCGCATATTTTTGTAATGACCTCTTGGACTGCTAAATAGCTAACACCTGGTTTCCAAAGTGTTTGTGTTCTGAGTACAAGATATGCAAAAAAAACCCAACTGCAATGGAAAACAGTGAATTTATAATCTATTTTTAAAAATATAGTCATACATGGCAGAGTTATTTTTAAAAGGTGGTTTTGAAGGTGGTATTTTTCAATGCGATATTTTAGTTTCTATTTAAAGTTTTTAAAATAATATTTTCCTCAATGTTTACCATCTAGGAATCTAACTGAAAATAATAATAATTAAATAATAATAATAATAAAATAATCACAGTTCTGATTAATTGATCACAAAACTAATAATTGAACACAATGAAGGATTTTTTTCAATCAATTACCCATGTAGTTACATAATGCATTATTGGGATGTATAAATACAGATTTTAACATTTTATCTGATAATTCTAAGACGACCACTGGAATGTTGCATTTGTTTTGGCATCCATATTCTAAGCAGGACACTGGCAAATAAGAGAATGTAAAAAACAGCTGCAGAAATTATTTCACCTCACTGAGGAAAAAGGTCTTGAAAATATGTGATTCAAGCTGGTTCGCGGTCAAAAAGGATATTGAGAGTTAACTTGACTACAGTGTACAAAGGGCTTTACAAGGAGAAAATACCTCGGATAGAAGTACTTCTGAAGTACATATTTCTAACGGAGAAGGTGATTACCTACTACAAAAATCTACCGAGTACACTAGTGACCTCGACATTTCCTAGACACTTTTCTAGAAGATATGCTTTTGCCAAACAAACAACAAAAAGTTACTGGACTCAGAAAAGGTTTAAAGACTTAAAATGTAGAGAACGCACGAAAAAATTCCTTAAAATCCTTTTAGCATTGTATTGTGCTCACGTAGTTCATTGAAGCCTAGAGTATTCGTCTTCCTAACAGTTGCATATAGTAATTTTGGTAATCTTAAATAAAAAAATGTTGCAATTTCAAGATTTCATCCAGAGAACCCTTACATTGTAATGCAAACTAGGCTGATGAACATTTCATGGCAGACTTCAGAATGTTTGCTGCTGAGCCTTTCTAGAACAACCCAGGTGGATGCACTTTTCCTCCCACCATTTTCTCATCATTCCAGTTAAGACAAGGAAGAAAAACAACTTGGAGCACAAGGATATGAAATAATTTTATTTGCCTGAGAAAGCTTATTTCTACCTCTAATATTCTTATTCTAGACTGTTTTAGACTGAGAAAAACACAACTTTATTCAGTGTTTGATGTAGATGGGATTAAATTACTTTCAAGACTTTGATCACCAGCTTGAAACTGCAACAGAGACAGAAGAGTTTGTGATCATCTGCTAGATCTTGGCAGAAAACAGAATTTGCTATTTCTTCCAGATTGCAGGTGCAGTAGGGTTTCAAGGTGGTGATTAGAGAAATCACTGCTGAGGTCAACCCCTGCTGTGGTGGACTTCTAACAATGGCCAAAAAATATGTTTTCACCTGCAATAACACTATTTCTTCACCTGCACTGAATGTTGAAAATGTCCTTTAGGATATATGCAACATTAAAGTAAAGGTCAGGCAGAAAGAGAGAAGATAGCCAGGCAGATACTGGCCAACTCAGTCCTGGGAAACATTTCCCTGCAGGAGGTACCGAGACTGAATTTGCTCTTCATTCTGTATATATATAATGATATCTCTGGCTGCAGCTGTGGAAGTGGATTATGCAGGTCAATATCAGCAGAATAGCTTCATCAATGATGAATCTGGCATGTGCTGCAACTTCTCTAGAGGTCTCCAGATAGATGGTGAACAGGAATGAATGCAAGAGGTAGAGAGAAGGAAAAGGGAATAGCTGTCTATTGACGCTACATGAGTTTTGCCTGAAAAATTGATTGACACAGTTGTAGCTCAGACTACCTATTCAGCCAATGTCACATATGCAAGTCAGTGACAAATTAGGGTTGACTGTGCTTGAAAGCTACAGAAATGTTGAGTAGCATGAGCAGGAAGATGGGGTTCCTATCCATTGCCATCAAAATATCATCTTTTAGTGCTGTTGACAGTTTAATAGCTACTTCTGTACGTTTGAGAGCATTGTGAAGTACTGCCACTATATTATTAACCTAGGTTGGAACTTTCCTACAAATGCAGAGCAAAAAAACCACACAAATGGAGCTTCTGAAATAGTTTAAGATTAAAGCTCCGCTGTTCACAAATGAATAGTATCTCTCTAATTGCATGTCAGGAAGACTCAATAACACTTTAACCCCCAGTTATCTTATCATATATTTTTTCAGATCAAATTGATTCTGTTCCATTTTAAACATCCAGATGATGGCATTCAGTTCAAATCAAGCATTTTTAATTCCATTTGTTTCCTCTAGGCAGCTGAAATGGACTGTGGATATGGGGGAGCTACACAACCTCCCACTGACCTGTGAGATAGAGTGGGTAGTGCTCGGGTGGTGATTATCAGAGCTGCATCCTTTAGCAAATCTCAACTGCTCACAAAAAAAAACCCAAAAAACAAACAAACAAACCTCAACTGCTCAAAAAAAAAACCCAAAAAAACAAACAAACAAAAAAACCACCCCTTGTGCAAAGTTGCACCCATGTATGTAATGACTTCAAATGATTCCTAGAATATACTAAGTTGTGTCATACCTTTGAAATGGCTTGCATGGCCCCAATCTGTCACAGTTCAAAGAAGGTGTGTACAATAGCACATAGATTGAGCATATTGTGTAGCTGGGGAGGGAAACAAGATTTGGGATTCAGGAGATTGGAGTGTGACTGTCTATTGATACCTTTAAATTAGCTATCACTGTAGTATCTGGTTTCTGTCAAGGTAGTGCAGAAAATCAGTGAGATGCATCTAGGAGGTTAGTGAATCAATTCTCTGCTCTGCCCATGGGCTGACCCTTCCCTGGTGGCTGTCTTTCAGCATGTCACCTCAGTTATTTGGCTGCTTTTTTTTTTGGTTTGTTTTGTTCCTTGGCACCATTGGCAGGCCACGTGTTCCCTGCTGAAAGGCTTGTCTATGACTGCCACCCACCCAAGGTGGCACCTATCCAAGGCGGTCAAGCTGGCTTTGGGATGAGATGCCGAATGGTGGCTCTTCTGGCACGTGGCACCAGGCCGGGCAATGCACCAGGACAACTGAGGACAACACCATTAACCAGCCCTGAAAAGCTGTGGTAATGGGGTGGCAGACTTGCCAAAGCTAGGGTTATACATTCTGCTGTGACATTATTCCCCATCTGGTTTTTTGGAAGTACCAGAAAAACAAAGCCTTACAAAAAAATGTCAAGCTGTGAACAGAAAAGTCAAAAGCCAGAAAATTCAAAGTTAATGCTGATTCTTTAACTCAAGTCATTAACTCAGAGCCATGCCTGAAGTCTGGGTGGAAGCCTTAGCTGAACTCGTGCTGGTTTGTGTAAGGATGTGAACATCCAAGGGGGCACAGCTTCATATGTGAATACAGGAGGGGAACAGAGACTGGCCGAGTTAAGAGCCACTGGATGAGGAAAAAGAGGAGCAATCAAGAGATAGATTTCCTGAGAAATTAGGTAGGGGAAGGGAGGTGAGAGAAAAGATAAGCTCATCCCAGAGACTGGCAGAAAAAAGAAAGATTAAGGACACTGACAAATGAGAAAACCAAGAGAGAAGACATGAGTTAAAAGATGGCCAGGGAAAGAAAGAATTTCAGACAGGAAAGATAGGGAATAATTGTGAAAAAAAACCCAGAGAGTGAGAGGAGAGTGACTTGGATAGGGATCTGGTATCGACCTGGGACAAAGATGGGCACTGGTGTGAAAATGGAAGGAGGACAATGATCTCTCAGTGGGGAAGAAATGTAATTAGGACTATGAGAGACTGAAGAAGAAAAATCAAGAGGAAAAATAAGTTCACATCTGGTGGCAGTGGACAGAAGAGTCAGGGCATATTAGATTTGTTCCTCTTTGGTAGCTGAGGTGGAACAAGATTCATGTCTCCATTCCTCTCTCTGCCCAGGACACTTAGCATATTGCTCCTGTTAGCTGAGTCTGATCCTTAATTTCTGCTTATTATTTCAAAAATTCAAATGATACACAAGAAATAGAGACTAAAACAATCATTAAGGCTGCAAACGAAACACCTCAAAGTAAGGAAATCCTAAGAAAACTGAGGAAGGAAGGTTTTTGCAAACCCTATGATATATACATATGTGTATATATATATATTTGCTCTTCTGTTCAAGATCTTAGAACATTTTGGCTCTTTGAAAATACGCACAGTTGGATACTTACATTTAATTAAATAGTTTTTAAGATAATGACTACAGCAGCTTCAGCATAATTCACAATTAAAAGCAATCAAACCCAAAATTCAGAATTGCTCTTATTCAAATATCCAGCATCAGTAATGGCCTACATAGTTTTCAGTGAAATGGGAGTCATAAAACTACATTCCAGGGTTTACAGTTGTAATAAGTACAGATTTACAGGCAATA